CCGACATCGCTGGCGTCAGTCGTGACGCAGGTCTCCAGTGCTGGGTCGAAGATGGCTAGCAGATCGGAGTTCAGGATCGACTCTCTGACGTCATCCAGGGCCGTCGCCATCTCCTCAGTCCACTTGAACGCCGGCGCGTCCTTCCGCAGCTGGCGCCGCAGAGGCTCCACACGAGAGCTGAAGTCCTTCACGAACTTCGAGTAGAAGTTAAGCGTCCCGAGCAGAGACTGTAGCTCCTTCTTTGTGGAGGGCTGCTTCATCTCCTTCAAGCCCTGCACCCGGTCCTGCGAAACAGACACGCCTCTCGCAGAGACAGTGAAGCCAGGAACTGGACAGAAGACTCTCGGATCTTACTTGTCCCAGTTCAGGGTCACGTTCCGCTCGTGCATCCTCTGCACCACCTGCTTCAGTCTGACGTCATGCTCAGCCTCAGTGCTGCCCCAGACAATGACATCGTCAAGGCACACTTGAACACCATCCAGGCCAGCAAGAATGCACTCCATCATCTTTTGGAAACATTGCGGCAGAGACTTAAGACCAAACGGACAGCGTTTGAACCTCCACATCTGACCTTCGTGAAGAAAAGCCGTCAGGTCTCTGGAGTCCTCGTGTAGGGCCAGCTGATGGTACGCCGAACGCAGGTCTAGCGTTGACATCACAGCTGCTCCCTGGAGACGGTCGATCATCTCCTGCATGTCTGGAATCGGGTGTCCGTTAGACGCAACAGCACGGTTACACTCTGTGAGATCCAAACAGACTCTCAACTTGCCTGTCCTCTTGCGAACCGCCACGATGGGAGACATCCAGGGAGACGCGTGAGTCTCCACCCGCTCGATGACGTCTTGCGCCTCGAGCTCCAGCAGGTGCTGAGTCACCTCCTCCCGCACAGAGTACGGCAAGGATCTGGGCTTGCTCCGAGTCGGCAGCACGTCCGGCTTCAGCTGCACCTTGTGCACGAAACCACTGATGGCAGGCAGAGGCTTCACATGGTCAACCAGACAGACAGTGGTACCATTCTTCACCGTGATGTACAACATCCTCTGCAGATCTCTGCCCAACAGAGCTATGCTAGCATCAGCCACATACACGTCAGCTTGAACAGTCCGACCAGATGACGTCACCGGGACAGAAATCACACCCCGGACCTTGACATCCTTCCCACCATAGGCACTTAGCCTCACCTTGGCTTGGCTGAGCTTGAACTGAGACAGCTTGCTCAGGTACAGTGCCTCGGGTATCACGCTGACGGCTGCTCCGGTGTCGACAATCATCGTCACCGGATGGCCGCCCAGCTGAACTTCATGCCACGGGCAGTCCGCTGGAGTTTGCTGCTGAAGAGATAAGACTTGCACAACATGCATGCTCTTCCCCTTCACAGGCTGTGTCCCTGACCTCCCGGCTGGACAGCAGTTGCCAAAGTGGCCAACAGCTTGGCACAAGTTACAACGCTTATCCCGGGCAGGACAGTGTGCATCGCGGGCCCAGTGACCCTCACGACCACAGGCATGACACTTCCCAGCTCGCTTCCTGGACACACCCCCCGTGCCTCGGCCTACCTTGGATGGCTTCTCCTTAGTGTAGGCCATCTCAATCACCGGAGTCGGTGCTGCAGCAGCAGTTGAGCAGGCTCCTTTGAGGACAGACCTCCGCTGTAGCCCACGGTCGGTTGCCTCTGCGATGCTCTCCAGTGAAGACAGTGTCAGACCCTCGGTCATGATGAGCTTGTCTCTCTTATTGAACTCAACCCTACCCCTGCACTACCCTACATACGACGGGACGTTTCCCAAGCCCGCAAGCATCACGACGCCTTAATGTAGCCGGGAAATCACCCTCGCCATCTGCTCTAGAGCTAATCGGTGTTGGGCGGCGTGTGGGGCGCCGCTTAGCCTATGGGGATGCACTTTGACTTGATGGGGGTGCATTTCTAGTGGATGGGGGTGCACCTGCACCCCTTTCATATGGAAAGTTACTTCCCTTATTACAGCTCCCCGTATTGCACCTGATCAGGGAACGGCCAGCAGACAAAGGAACTACTTCTCGATGACAGGCGAATAGCCGCTCACGCAAGGAGCGGAGCTCGGCCACGTCCAAAGTTGCCAACAAAGCAGAGACAGAGGCAGCATCACATCTTCCATCAAAGAACTGGTTTCTGGCTTGGAAGATGAGCTCCACCTTTGTATCCGAGTCGGTGCTGTCAGGAATCAGCTGGTCTAATGGAGTGAGACGACTATCCATCGTATCAGAGCTGCCTGGTCCTCGTAGCATTTGCACCGATTCTTCTCGATTGGACTCTGAATTCTGTCCCTCCTGCTTATTACTTGAGGCATTGCTATGTAGCACAGTTTCGTTATCCATGCTTTGCAAACAGTGCCATAACAACACAGTTAATTAGTCCGCAATATTCTTTGCAAGTCCCAATACAGTTGAGTCGCACGCGATTTGAGTGCAAAAATCAAGAGCAAGTGTCAACTTGTTCCAGTAAAATATTTTGAATATTGACCTAAAAAATGAGTAATTTCCAGATAAAATAACAGCGAAATCACTTTTCACTTGCCAATAAAACTCACAGCTATTGAAGCTCCACTAATAACCCGCGCATGACTGGGGTATTTTCCATAACGCGAGTGACTGAGGGGGGCTCTCCAGAGCCCCCCCCCCCTCCTATCTCCGAAACTACTGGGCCGATCGTCAAAATTCAAACGGCGTCTGATATCCCTGCAAAAACTGTCGAGCGAAACCTATTTTCATTGACCTCGAGGTCACCGATGACGTCACAGGTCAGGTCAAAGTAAAAATTATCGGCATTTTTGCTTGTTCACAATTTAGGTTCTGACCGCCGGCTGACAAGTCCGATCAGGCTCATTTTTGGTTTACGCACTCCTTGATATGTGCCTTAGATACCCTGAGGGTACCGAACTTTTACTTCGTATTTTTCAGGTCAAGGCCAGGTCATCCTAGGTCACGAAAGTTGTATATCATGTATCGGTCACGTGACGCATGTTTTATGGTCCATTTTACTCATAGATTTTGAAAACAATGTCGTCTGTGTCGTTTGAGGTCATTTTCAGCTGAATTTACCGGAGGTCAGGTCACTCAGGTCAGAAAAGGTCAAATTTTGAAAATGAAAATTTTTAACAAAACAGGTGCCTATCAGATGCAGTTTGAGCTCAAGAACACGATGGTGCCATTTACATTGCTGTGCGATGTCAAAAACGTACTAAAAATGGTTTTGAAAAATATATAATTGTAAAATTTTGACAATAATGCAAATAACTTGGCTATTTTTGAAGATATTGGACTAAATCTTGCTAGAGTAAGTCATCAGTGTGTGTTCTATCACATATATTCCGGTTTTTGCAAAAAGTCAAAAACTTTTGGGAAAAAATCGAAAATATATTTTTTGTAATTGTAAATACATATTTTTCAAAATTTTCAAAATTTCGAAAATTCGAGATAGCCGTTTGATAGCTACGTGTATTTGTAGTCTACTCATGCAAAGAAATTGGATTTAGCTTTAAAACTGAGCTCTTGAGAACGTTTGCCGTAATTCAATATTTTGCATTAAAATCGGCCGACATGACGTCACTCTGACATCATTTTCGGCTAAAGTATGCTATCTAGAAAGTTGAAATTTTAACACAAGGTGTCAAATTAATGCCGCTGAGGGAACCGCAAGTTTCGTGTTGATCCGTCAAACGGTTTGGAAGATATTGCTGAAAAACGGGAGGGGGGCTCTGTAGAGCCCCCTCTCAGTCATGCGCGGGTTAAAGGAGCATTTTAGTATATGTTATTCTTGATAAAACTTCTTAGCCACGCAATACCAGCGCAAAATAAAGAGACACTGAAAACACGACCAATCACTCCAAGTTACCATAGGTAAATACACAGAAAATGTATGTCTCAACTGCGCCAAATATACAGACAGTTATATACCTACATGTGACGTCATGATTTGCCCGACCAATCAGAAGCAAGTTGTTTTCAGTCACAATTGATTTCTGAGCTAACTAGGCATTTTTTTAACAAAATGATTTTAAATTAAATCATTAAAAATTCTGAGCTTTCTTATTTTACCAAAACATACAAAGCATGCAGATAGGTCCCAACCCTATTAACTAGACAGCACCCGCTTTCATCCTAAAACATTTTAGTACACTTCCAACTAGTTCCTGACCAGTGATCAGTTCTTTATATTGGGTATCATATGCCGGATATATCGGGAAACAACTACACTGTTGGCTGTTGGCGTTGGCTGTTGGCGTTGGCTGTTGGCTGTAGGTACTGTTGGCGCCAGACCCCTTGAGACCCTAATTTTTCGCGATTATTTGTGAATGCGTGGAATAATTTCAACCATATTTAGGAACTAGCCGTTGTGAATCTTGGAAACTGAGGTACCTTCATTCGTTACCAAGGTGATCGGTTGACAAATAAAAGAAGCCAAAACAAATGTGTTCTTCATATCACGCCGCCGTAATCAGCAGCTTTTCCACCAATCAAAAGCGTCGAAAAATGCGATTATTTTGCAGGATTTGCACAAAATGCCGTAAAATACGGCATGGGGTATTTTGGGCTGGTGAGACTGGATTATTCAAGGCCCTCTAGGCTAACCCAAATAAGGCCCTAAGGGATTATTTGCTTGGGGTTATTTCGGTGCGGTAACTTACAGCTACCCCAAACGAGTTTACCGCATTTGGTGAGATTGGCCCCAGAAGTGTCCAGGTCAGGGGACTGGGCTAGGTCACTTGACTAACGGACAGCTGTGGATTGCCTGAGGCACAGTCTCGAGAAATAACTAACAGTTCTGTTAGCGTACGGTGGGATAATACATATCCGAATGAATAAGTGACAAATAGTTTCCGGACACCCTGTAGACTGGTGCTGACACTTCGTGTTTTTCTGTCTCCAAGTTCAAGCAATATCGCCATGTTTTCCAGGCGGACTGGCAACGGTCGGTTGTCCTCACTGCGACTTCAGCTGTCCGGGACAAGATCTTATGAACAGGCACGTCAAGGATAAGCACGGTCACATCGGCAAGGACGGCAAATTGAAGTGCCAGTGGTGTGATTACTCTACGAACCATTCCGGCCACATGGCAGGACACCGCCGTACACACACGGGAGAGCGGCCGTACCGCTGTGATATATGTGGGAAGTCGTTTTCTGAGCCCAGTAAGCTGACCCGCCACCGCCGTACACATAAGGGAGAGCGGGCGTACCGCTGTGATATATGCAGCAAGGGGTTTTCCCAGCAAAATAATCTCGTTGTACACCGCCGTGTGCACACTGGAGAGCGGCCGTACCGCTGTGATGTGTGTGACAAGGCATTTGCTGTACAAAGTAGTCTGGCCGTCCACCGCCGTACACACACGGGAGAGCGGCCGTACGGCTGTGATCTGTGTAATGAGTCGTTTTCTCAGATGTCTCATTTAACTTACCACCGCCGTACACACACGGGAGAGCGGCCGTACCGCTGTGATGTGTGTGACAAGGCATTTGCTGTACAAAGTAGTCTGGCCGTCCACCGCCGTATACACACGGAAGAGCGGCCGTACCGCTGTGATCTATGTGGGAAGTCGTTTGCTCGACCTTGTACTCTAACCACGCACCGCCGCACACACACGGGAGAGCGGCCGTACCGCTGCGATGTGTGTGACAAAGCGTTTACTGAACGAGGTGGTCTTACTAACCATCATCGTACACACACGGGAGAGCGGCCGTACCGCTGTGATGTGTGTGACAAAGCGTTTGCTCTACAAGATGGTCTTACCAAGCACCGACGTAGAGCGCACCGTTAAAGTAATGTGCGGCTTCACTAACGTCAACAGATGGCTTTCACTGATTGTTTCTAAATGATCCAGGAGTAGACAGCAGAAGCCAAACATGCAGCTGCAAGGATGACGAAATATGTAAGGCATGAGGTGCGTTCGGAGAGGCACATTGCACATGGAATATTTCATGCGCGTGGAATATTCCCGGAGATTGGCCGTTCGGGGAGCCGTTCCCGTGGAAATTCACCGTGGATTCCCGGGGAACGCGTTGAATCTGAAAAGCATGTTTTGCGTCATTCCCGCCAAGATGGCGGCGCCCACAGGAGCGATGGCTACGTAAATTCAGTGGGTTTTATTAGTTGTTGATGATTAATTTTGTTACTTTTGTTGCATCTATGCACTAAGTAGATGCTTTTTTCGATTGTTATTCCTGCAAGACGTCTACAATAGGTACAAAACATTGTTCTTCATAACTGTTTTTGTACATTATTTCATAGCAATATGTTTTTAAGCCTTAACATATTCTAGATAAAATTCTTCCAAATTTAACTTATGACACGTGGCACGCGACACGGGGAATATTCCCGGGGACGCCGACGGTGAATATTCCATGCTCTCCGAACGCACCCATAGTCGCTCTTGAAAGTATCGCCTCATGGGCTGCAGCGGCTCGGCGAACTATTTCACTCGGTTTGAGGACACCAGCAGTGAGGTCATGGCCTGTATCATAAAAAGTACGCTGTGTCACGATCCTACGCCAGCGATAGAAGGAAAACTGCTATATGACGCAGGCACCGGCGGCTGACAACTGGGTCGAAACAGGTGGAGGCCGGCCCAGAGGTCATGCTCGTGTCGCTCTTCCTTGACCCCGTCCACCGCCCCAGGCCCCACTTGGGTTCACCAGCCGGGCGCTCAGTGGTCTGCCTTAGTGGGCGCCAATCACTGTTAACTCTTTTTATATATATATATATTTAATTAACCCACGAGCCGCTGGGAGGGCCATAAAGTTGCCCCCCTTTACGTTTGGTGTAATATCTCCGACACCGGATGAGATACGAAGCTGAAACTTGGCATAGCTTCAAATGAATACCTAGCGCATGTTTGAGGAATGCTTGGTGGTTGTAGCACTTAAGATGACGTCACAGTGTCGTCATAAAGTTTTGTCGTTTTCCGATATGGAGCGTTTCCGATGTCGCTGACCACGAAACGCAACGGTAAATGATCTAAACAGCACCTGTTGTCATTATGACACATCTAAGTACACTTCAAACTAGATCCTGACCAGTGATCGGCCCTATATATTCGGTCTCATATGTCGGATATATCGCGAGGAAACCCAGAGACGCAAATATATAATTGGGCTTCTGACGTAACTGTGACGTCATTTCAAGTGGGGTCGACACCAAATTTGGACACAACCTCGGCTAGGTATTCAGGAATATGTGTGCAAAGTTTCGTTTCTCTATCTCTTCGCGTTGCGACGATATCGTCGGAGAAGTAAGGGGGGGCAACTATATGCCCCCCCCCCCCCCCAGCGGCTGGCGGGTGGCGCGGAGGCCCAGCGGCCGCCGGGTTAATGATACATGATTCAGGACAGAACATTCAAGACACATGCCATGAGACTCAGAAAAAGACAAACAACGGGCAACTTTTCCTTAAACTCCCACTTCTTACCACGCTATGACATTCTCACGCTCGCGGCAGACACTTTTGAAACCCCCGCTAACGATGTCAGCGGAGCTATCAGCACCACGCGACGTGGTGTGTGGCCCGCCTGGCCAAGCCGGGGGTGTCCCATCATGGACTAAAGAACCGCCCCGGCCCCGGGGAGATCTGGGGGATATCTCTCCAGCCGGGGAGAGCTGTGGGTTACCTCCAATCACTGTCAACTCAGTGTGCGTGACGCGTAAAATTACAACGAAGCAAAGTTCCGTCATAACCCTACTCTGAAGAGGCCTTCTGAACGACGCAAACAGGTCATGGGGGGGGGGGCCTGGCATCAAATAAGGCTCTTAAAAAGAAGACGGCTGATGGGTAAATATCTGTTTTTGTCGCCGTTCACTAACCGGCTTATTCAAAAAGAGGACGTTCAAATAAAGGACTAAGTGGCGAGTGTATATTTTTGTGATTTGAATCCGCTCGCGGGTGCACCTGCAACCACGGATGTTAGGATGATGTTAGGACTGGCTGTTAGCGGGTGTAACTGATTTTTTTTCGCATTCGTGCACGAGTTTCCGGATTATACAGAAAGTCTATGGTAGTCGTGCCGATGGCGGGTCAAATTTTCAGCTTTATAATGAAACAAATCTCAACAAATTCTCTGCGAGTAAGGTGGCTTTCGTTGACCACATGCTTACTTCCATCACAAGTTACCGCGCGGCGACCGCCTCCCCCCCCCCCCCATCCCTCCACAACCACTCCCTTCGCCCCGCCGCACTTGCTGTCACCGCGTGTCAGGCTCCGGTCAGTGCTACCAGTGGTTCTCAAACCTTTCCGCTCAACCGCGGCTGGGACAGGTGAAGCCCTCCCCCCAGAGTCGTGATATTTTCAAGGGAGAATATACATTCAAAGTTTTATTGCAGACTGGCAATTCGTTCCTAAAATACAAATGCAAAGCATAACCACAACTGAAGCCGCGCATTACTTCTGCGGTGGACGCTACATGCACGGGTGGACGGCCACACTGATGTGCCATACCTATGTGTGACGTGACAGGACATTTTTGTCGGCCATCTAACCTGGTTAAACATTACCGATATCATGCACGCTGATCGGTCTGAAGGGTGGTGCGGTACCGTCGAAATGTCGGCCAAGCTCCGTGTCATGGAACGGCCGTATACGGCTGTCCCACCTACACTGTAATCATACAATTACACATACGGGCCCACGGTGTGCTATAGAAACGTGTAAATATGATACGTCGTGTAAAGAGTGGACATCCTCTACATTTGTGAGCCGACTGTGTTTTGTAGTGTACGTGGTGAAACAAACATGGCTGGCAATACAACCGGATGGAGAAAATGGTCTGTTTTTGTGGGCGGAGAACATTTGTCACGGTGGTTTGAAGTGGTCTGATCTGATTCTGTCTACATGTAGACACTAGACAGAATATAGATTTGACAGAGAGGAAAGCGGGAAGAGAGAGAGAGAGAGAGAGAGAGAGAGAGAGAGAGAGAGAGAGAGAGAGAGAGAGAGAGAGAGAGAGACGAGACGAGACGAGACGAGAGGGCTCGTGTCGGGCTCGTGTCGATGGTCAATATTCTCCCTTTTTCAGATGTATGACCGGATTCATTTAAAGCAACTAGAGTACAGGTTTACGCGATAATTGTATGTTTTGATATGATCTATTGAAGGGACGCATTAGATTGGGTATAGAAACTTGTATATTTAGTTTTGTTATTTGCTTTTTTTACATTTGGTAATGAACGCGTGGTGTTCGAGACTTTGGTATGTTATGTCCTTCAACTCAACCCTACCACTACTTTTCTCCTACTTTACCCTACCCTACTCCTACACTACCCTTAACCTATTCCTTTTCTACCGCTACCCTACCTTTACTCTACCCCTACTCTACCCCTGTCCCCTACCCTAACCCTACTCTACCCCTGTCCCCTACCCTACCCCTACTCTACCCCTGTCCCCTACCCTACCCCTACTCTACCCCTGTCCTCTACACTACTTCTACTCTACCCCTACCTTACCCTTCCCTACTTCTACCCAAGGGCTCCGCCACGGGGGGGGGGGGGTGACGGGGGGACGTGTCCCCCCAATATTTATCATTTTTAACATTACGCCTATGGGTGCTGCATGGAAAGAATCGACTTTAAACGGCCTTCGTCCCCCCCCGCCCCAACCATCGGGTCGTGACGGGCCCTTGCTTCTACCTCTACCCCTACCCCTACCTTTACCTCTACGGTACTCCTACTTCTACCTCTACCGTACTCCTACTTCTACCCCTACTTCTACCTCTACCGAACCCCTACTTCTGCCTCTACCGTACCCGTACGATACCACACATCGGCTCTACTTTACCCTACCCTACCCTACCCTACCGATACCGTACTCAAACCGCATTCATACTCTACTCATACTTAACCAAAAGCATTGCACCATTTTTTAGCGCAATCGACCTAGCCGTTCTTGATATATAAAACCGGCCCCGTTGCACATGTGCACGTGAAAAGTGAGACTTCAGTGCACTTGTACTGGCCACCCTTCTAAATACCTCTGTGTACCAAATATGAGCGAAATCGGCCCAGCTGTTCCTGAGATGTAGCATCATTGTCTTGCCCGTGCGCACGTGCAACAGCACCCCCCACACATGGTAATGCATCGTCCGGCACCGACAGTTAAGTTTCAGTGCAATCGGCCAAGGAACGGCTGAGTCATTGCTAGAATAAATTTATTTCAGGGATTGGTGAATTTCAGTTATTTACATTTCATCCCTGTAGCCCTTACCGTTTCCGAGCAATTACCCCGTTTACATGAGACAGCGAAAATGACTATTAGAACGGATATTTCCGTTTAGCGAAAAATGCGCAAGTTTCGACTTATGTAAACTGGTTAGCGCGCGTAAAAATGACGATAACACGGAACGGAAATATCCAATGAATTAATGGGAAATATCCGTTCAGAACGTCGGGTCTGAACGTTTTTTTTTGCGCATCTGGCTGAAAATGACACCAAAATGTATGCGTTATGCGTGAATTTTTTAGTTAAATAATAAAATAAAGATTTATTTTGAAGGACAAGTCTAATAACGCAGAGGTGAACTCTTGGTGCCTGATTCCGTTCCAACTTCCAATATGGCATATTCCATAGATAACAGTAGAACAGTAGTTCTACTGTTATCTATGCATATTCATAAAGTACCTAAGTGTTGGAACTTGGAAGGAGTGGCCCGTGCTTCAGACGGGGAACATTCTAGCCTAGGGGTGATTTCCTTATCACTTCGATTCAGCCATCAGGGTTCAATTCCTGGGCAACCAAAGTGGCCTTGACAGTCACTCTCTAGCCACTTGGAACAGCATGAAAGTTCCAGTTAGCAGACATGGGCACGGATCCCAGACAACCAATCACGGAAATCGATATGACCATCAGATTGACGGTCTTCAAGCATGAAATTATGGTGGAAAACATGGCTAATAGAAGCCTCTCAATGAACCAACTATTTTGCATTCCTTCAGAGTTAACAGTTCTGAGAAAATCCCTCAAGATCCATCTCGGATCCATGATTCGTGATCATTGATCCGAGATGGATCTTGAGGGATTTTCTCAAAACTGTTAACTCTGAGGGAATGCAAAATGGTTGGTTCGTTGAGAGGCATCTATTAGCCACGTTTTCCACCATAATTCCACGCTTAAAGACCACTAATCTAGTGGTCATCTTGATTTTCGTGTTTGGTCGTCTGGGATCCGTGCCCATGTCTGCCAGGTAGCACTTGGTCAGGTCAGTAAGGTGAGGTAGAAAAAAAATAATTAAATATAATTGAGCCACTGCAATGGGTATTCAATTTGGATGCCCTCAATAGATTCATAAATGAAGATTGCTTGCATGGAAAAACGATGTGTTGGAAACCAGCACTGTCAGGCCCATGAACTTGGTGTCCGAGGCTCTAGGACATGTCACATGGGTAAAAATATATCCATTTACAGCACTGCCATTTTCCAACATAATGTTGCATTGACTGTTAGCATTGAGTAAAAATAAGGTCATTAGGTACTATATGCAATGCCTGATGTCATATACCTGCCTTCAACAAAGCATGGGTACTTGAATGGCTTTCGCCCCTCTGGTTGTTAAGTCTATACACCTGTGCAGACAACTAAGTGGTAAGCTGGGTTTCTTTGCTCAAAATACCCATTGCAGATAGATGCACATTCTGTTACAGCTTTATTCTTCCTAGCGGTAATTCAGATAGCTTAGCTTCTCAGCCAGCCACAAGATGGTATGGCCAGGGGGGTGTCACTACTGTGTTTCGCCATA